CCATCATTGGTGTCATGGCTACTTCATAACTGAATAGTGCCCCATCATTGGTGTCAGTGGAGAATAGTGTCCCCATCATTGGTATCAGTGGGAGGAATAGTGCCCCATCATTGGTGTCAGTGGGAGGAATAGTGCCCCATCATTGGTGTCAGTGGGGGAATAGTGCCCCATCATTGGTATCAGTGGGAGGAATAGTGCCCCATCATTGGTGTCATGGTAGGAATAGTGCCCCATCATTGGTGTCAGTGGTAGGAATAGTGCCCCATCATAGGTGTCAGTGGGGGGAATAGTGCCCCATCATTGGTGTCAGTGGGAGGAATAGTGCCCCATCATTGTGTCAGTGGGGAATAGTGCCCCATCATTGGTGTCAGTGGGAGGAATAGTGCCCCATCATTGGTGTCAGTGGGAGGAATAGTGCCCCATCATAGGTGTCAGTGGGAGGAATAGTGCCCCATCATTGGTGTCAGTGGGAGGAATAGTGCCCCATCATTGGTGTCAGTGGGGGGAATAGTGCCCCATCATTGTGTCAGTGGGGGAAATAGTGCCCCATCATTGGTGTCAGTGGGGGAATAGTGCCCCATCATTGGTGTCAGTGGGGGGAATAGTGCCCCATTATTGGTGTGAGTGGGAGGAATAGTGCCCCATCACTGGTGTCAGTGGGAGGAAAAGTGTCCCATCACTGGTGTCAGTGGGAGGAATAGTGCCCCCAACACTGGTGTCAGTGGGAGGAATAGTGCCCCATCATTGGTATCAGTGGGAGGAATAGTGCCCCCATCATTGGTGTCAGTGGTAGGAATAGTGCCCCATCATAGGTGTCAGTGGGGGGAATAGTGCCCCATCATAGGTGTCAGTGGGGGGAATAGTGCCCCATCATTGGTGTCAGTGGGAGGAATAGTGTCCCATCACTGATGTCAGTGGGAGGAAAAGTGTCCCATCACTGGTATCAGTGGGAGGAATAGTGCCCCATCATTGGTGTCAGTGGGAGGAATAGTGCCCCATCACTGGTGTCAGTGGGAGGAATAGTGCCCCAACACTGGTGTCAGTGGGAGGAATAGTGCCCCATCATTGGTGTCAGTGGGAGGAATAGTGCCCCCATCATTGGGTGTCAGTGGGAGGAATAGTGCCCCCATCATTGGTGTCAGTGGGAGGAATAGTGCCCCATCATTGGTGTCAGTGGGAGGAATAGTGCCCCAACACTGGTGTCAGTGGGAGGAATAGTGCCCCATCACTGGTATCAGTGGGAGGAATAGTGCCCCATCGTTGGTGTCAGTGGGAGGAATAGTGCCCCATCGTTGGTATCAGGGGGAGCAATAGTGCCCCATCGTTGGTGTCAGGGGGAGGAATAGTGCCCCATCGTTGGTGTCAGTGGGAGGAATAGTGCCCCATCGTTGGTGTCAGTGGGAGAATAGTGCCCCATCGTTGGTGTCAGTGGGAGGAATACTGCCCCATCGTTGGTATCAGGGGGAGCAATAGTGCCCCAACATTGGTGTCAGTGGGAGGAATAGTGCCCCATCGTTGGTATCAAAGTGGGAGGAATAGTGCCCCATCGTTGGTGTCAAAGGGGGAGGAGGAATAGTGCCCCATCGTTGGTGTCAGTGGGGGGAGGAATAGTGCCCCATTATTGGTATTAGTGACACCAATGATTGGGCACTATTCCTCCCACTGACACCAATGATACTTACCTTGCTGACCCCTGCTCCAGCCTGGGCTCGCTCCCTCCCTCCCCATGGTACAGACACTTACCGGTCAGATGTCTTCCTTCTCCGGCCGCTCTCCCTCCTCTTCACTCGCTCGATCTTCGCGGTGCCGCTCCTCCTTTCCAAGCTCTACCTCCTCGCCGGTGATTGGCCGCCTGTGTGCCTCTCCTGAGCTACAGTTCCGGCGGCCAATCACCGACGAGGATTGATCCCGGGGGTGTGTCCGGATGACAGGGACTGCATGTCATCCCGCCCACACCTGGAGACGGACAGAGCAGCGGTGTCTCGGTTCCTAAGGCCATCGGAAATATGTGTTTTCCGATGGTCTTAGGCGACCCCTGGGAAAGTGTCATTCGACCCCCAAAGGGGTCGCGACCCCCAGGTTGAGAACCGCTGTTGTAAAGCATGTATTCAACTATCAATGTGGACTTTTTGGCTAACATATTGATACTCCTGATAACGCCTGATGTATGAAAGGCCCTGAGAAAAGAGACTTCTGTGAAAATTAAACAAATGGGACCCCCTGCACTAAGTAATACCCACTTTGTATAGAGTAATAAGGGGGATAGCCTCTTGATGGACGGGGATTATTTGTGACATGATTCTATTGTACTCTTGCTATAAGGAGGAGGATTTTGTAGAGTTTTTTTTTTTTTTTTTTTTTTTTTTTTTTTAATTTTGAAACATTTGTTGTATTTTATTCCTTTTGGCGTATAAAGTTGGACTTTAAACTGTCCTTCAGTTCAAGTTTGGAGATGTTAAACACAGGTTGTAAAGGAAGCTCCTGCTTTCCCTATAAACAA